CTTAGCACAGGGGCAGGGAGATGGGGGACAGGTGGGCAGGGCCACCTCGGGCCTAAGCTGTTCACTAGGCATCAGGGGTCTCTGCAGAGGGCATGGGATTTGAGCTGGGCATAGGAGAGGCACCCAATCCAGCCAAGAAGAGGTTGGACGCATTAGTTCGGCAGGAAGGTTGGAAGGAGAAGGCAGGCCCTGTAAGATGCTGGAGTGAGAATATGGTCTCCATGACGACCAGGATAGACGAGAAAGTGAGCGTAACTATGTCCCGGGGACAAGAAGGTGACAAATGAAGGGCTTTCTTGCCCACGAGGGGAAAACCCAGTATATGTGCAGCCAGGGGGCAGTGAAAGGAAATAGGGGCCCCCTCAAGGGCACAGGCCCCTTGAGCCCCAGGTGGAGGTGAGCTGAGGTGTGACCATGCCCCCCCCCCAGAGATGCCCTCTACCCCAGCCTCAGGCAGCCCTCAGGGAAACCCAAGGAGGGAGCCCAGGGAAAGCCAAGCTGGGGGAGGGGGCAGGGCAGAGAAGAGAGTGGGAATGAGCAGAACAGGGCTCCCAGCTGCCACTCCTTCTTTCTGTGCCCCAGTCTCCCCCAGAAAAAAAGGAGCTTTGCACAAGGTGACCACCCAGCTCACACACTCAGTTCCTTTGAAGGGGACTCCCCAAATTACATACAGAAAGAGAGCCCCATCAGCAACCCAGACCTTCCTGAGCAGGGCTGGGTGGCTCTCAACAGGATAAGGCTTGGCATGGGACTGTGAGGCCCTGAGGGGAGGAGACAGTGGGTGATTCTTAGAGGCTGTCCTGGGCCCAGTGGAGCAGAGCAGAGAAGGCCAAGCAAGGTAGGGCAATCACCCCAGCCTGGCCTGCCTGCTGGCAGGAGCTCAGGCACCCGGACCCAGCCATGCAGGGCCCTAAATGGCAGGGGACGGGGCCAGACTGTCCTTGTGAAAGGACAGCTTTCTTAGGCCTCTTCTGAAGCCCTGGGAGAGGAGCAGCAGCCCCGTGCCAAGCCCTGTGCCAAGTCAGGGACACTGCTGAGGGCGGTCAGGAGCTTAGGAGCAGCTAAGGACTGGGCCCACCCTGGACCCACGCACACTCTGCAGGTGCTCAGAGATGGGGTTTGGGGTGAGTGATCTCAGACGCAGTGATGTGAACTCCCTGCGCACGTACCAGTCCCATGCCCTGGCCCCGAAAGCCTGTGCTCAGTCTCACCTGACCCTGTTCTCAGCAGGCTGGCCACCCATGAGGGGGCGCTGGGACTGGCCCCCAGTCGCAGGGGTCTTGGCGATGACCACAGTCTTCAGGTCCTGCAGCGAGGCACGCAGCTGGTTGTAGATGCGCAGGAAGTGGAACTTCTCATGGGGCAGCACGAAGATGGCGGTGACAAAGCGGTAGCCCACGAGCAGCTCCAGCACATGGCCATCGGCAAAGGCACCCCGTGGCTGGGTGCAGCTGCGCGTGGGGTCCAGCAGCACAGTGGAGAGTGGCACGCGGCTGAGCTTGAAGCTGTTGCGGTTGCGACAGTTGTGGGTCCCTCGGTTGGGCATGGGGTTGAAGTCAGCCTTGATGACGTTGAGGTGCTGGGGGGTGAGCAGCAGCCAGTAGGGGATGGCAGCGGACTTGACAGCCTCGGAGGGTGCACAGCAGGAGCGCCGCACAGCAGAGCAGAGCGTACAGCTGGCCCACTCGATGTTGCCTGAGTAGTCCCCGGCAGCCGTCTGCACCATGCGCTTGTCACTGTAGACCAGGTAGACTGGGAAGCAGCCTTGGCTGCGCTCCTGGCAGCCGCCCGCCACCTTGTAGAAGGTGAGCAGCTGGCGGAGGAACTCCTGCAGGCTGATGTGGCTGCCATAGAGCACGGGGCTGCACAGCATGGCCATGTGCTGCGGGGCGAAGCATGAGCGCAAGTCGGCGTGGAACTCGTGCAGGTTGGCGGCATCCGAGATGATGAAGAGCGTGTTCTCACTGTGCCGCACCTTGAGCACCAGACACAGCTCTGGCATGAGAAAGCCGAACTCAGTGAGGTCGCCGTGCGGGAAGCAGAAGACGAAGCGCAGGGAAGAGAGGATGTGCTGGCTGCTGCCCCGTGACTCCTGATGCGGGATCTCGAAGACAGCAATGCCAAAGTCAGTGAGCACGAGGCAGGCAGCAAACTGGCGGATGCTGCCCTGCACGTGGATCAGGAAGCACCAGAGCACCTTGAGGATGCGGATGTGCTCCAGCAAGAAGTCCTCGTCTGCACCCAGGGCCCACTCCAGGGCCAGGCGCTCCTCCTCACCATCCTCCTCTTCTTCCTCCTCTTCCTCTCCCCGGCCTCCTTCCTCCACATCTGGAGGCCCCATTTCAAAGTAGCGGTTCTCAGCCACATCCTCGTCATCCTCGCCCTGGCCCTCCTCCCGCTGGTTGGCTGCCTCGATCCAGGCTGGCAGCTGCCGCTCGATGGCCTGCCGGATGAGTGTGCTGAGGCGCTGGATAAAGTCCTGGTTGGTGGCCGTGTAGCCAATGCAGGTGAAGGGCAGGAAGATGATCTGGCCAGACCCAGGCACCACCTGGACCTCCGGCTCCGAGTGCTCTGAGCTGTGTGAGAAGCCAGGTCAGTGACACGCTGGGCTGGGACACCCCACCTCTCAAGTCTGGGGCTACACCCTCGTCCTGAGGAACCAACTCATGGGTATCCCAAACTGCTAAATAGCTGAGCCTATTCCTAGGACAAGTGCCCCACTGGGGAGCCAAGGTGCCCGAAGGCCGGGGCCACCAGTTTCTCCAGAATCCACATGCCCAGGACTCTGATGACATGTTCAGGCCAGTCCTGCCACATCACACTGGTTCCCCCACCTGAAGCATCACACAGATCTTAGTCATTCAGACACTGGCCGTGAGCCCGAGGCAGCGAGTGCTCCAGGGCACGGAGCCGCTTGCTGACAACAGTTCCCTTCAGGGGCGCGTTAGGACCTTCACATTTAATTCAAGCCCCTCTCGGCCATTACTGTCCTCACACAGTGTGTGTACATCGGGGCTGGGAAACGGTCACAGGATGAATACTTCGGGCTTTTGGGGCCACCCAACCACATAATCTTTTCTTTTTAAAAACAGCTCCTAAGCATGGAACAATCATTCTTATCTCACAGGCTGTGGACCAAACCAGCCTCGATCTGCTGATCCCTTGTGTAGGATGACATATGTCCTTAAGACTCAAATTTAGAAGCAGACCAGGGCTTTTCATATCTGTGTTTAATTTAAAGGAAGAGGTAGTTCTGGAGGACTCCTGTGAATACCTATTTAACAAAATCCAACTAGTTACTGCTAGCCCACAGCTGAGTGTGTACAGGCCTTCTCAACCTCTTCCTTACCTTGCACCACCAACAGCTCCAGGTATGTCCCTTAAATCATCAGAAGGTGCCTGACGGAGAAGGAAATGTGGTCAGCCCCCACCTGCCTCGGCCATTCCCTGGCATTTTCTGGTGCTAGACCCTGAGCCAGGCGCCCTGCCCTCCCTCCTCCCTCCCTGCAGGAAGTTCCTCACCATCCCACGCTCCATTCTGGGTGAATTATGGGGCCTGGAGACAGAGAGACTTCCAGTTATCCTGCCAGTGCACAGCAAGGCTGACTGCCACCTGGGTCAGTCTGCCCCCAGCCCACACTCCCAGCTCCTGGGCCAGAACCTCCGGCCACTCTGAAGTTCAGTTTGTGCCACTGGGTCTAGCATCCGAGTGCTCCCTGTCCCACCCCAGAGGGTCTTCATGGACAATACACCAACTTGGTAACTGGTCAGCAGAAGACACAATGAACAGAGGCTGCACAGTACCTGGCAAGGCCCTCCCAGGGGTCTCTGGACAACAGGGAGGGAGAAGGGAGTGCCATGGTGTGCTGGGATAAGGTGAGGCCTCTCAAACGACCACAGGGGTCACACGGTCCTGGCTATTGCTGACTAGAGATGGGGCTAGAGGGAGGTCTAGGTAGCAAGCACACTCTCCAACATGGCAAATGAGCCACTCACACCACACTTGCCTCCTCCTCTCTTCCCAGGACACACGAAGGAACCCTTAGTAGCAGCCAGAGAAGGTGCCACAGTCACACAGTGTCCCAAACTACCAGGATGACATGCAGGGATGGGCAGAATAGCCCTGGGGTGCCAGGCAACAGGGGAGAAACTTTCTGATGGGTTTGGAAACCAAACAAGGCCCCCTCCACTCCAGAACCTTCAGAATTGCTTTCCCCAAGGGAGTCCACTCATGTGAACTAAAGGTTATCTGGCTTTGCCCTCCAGGGCCCAGTGAGAGAACTGTCTGTTCCCACTAACAGAGGGAGACAGGGAGGAGAGAGGGGGAGAGAGTGAGAGCGGGGAGAGGAGGGAGGAAGGGAGGGAGGGAGGGAGGGAGGATACCACAAAGCAGAGTACACCAATCGCTGGCAGCGTCTGCCGTAACTCTTGGCAGGCCACCTCCTACTTCCCCGAGAGCCTCAAACAGAGCTGGCACAGAGGTAACCCATCTGCAGAAGCAGGAGGCAGGCATTACCTGTCCTGCAGGGATGGACTCCAAGGAATCAGAGCATCCCCGAGCAATGGGCCGGTCCTCGGGAGTAAGACTGTCCGTGGACGAGAGGCTGCTGGCCAGGGCCTCCTCTTGCACAAACATGATTCCTGGAGAGACCAGGGGCAGGCGGGGGGGGACAGCGGGGCAGGAAGAGCAGCCATTCAACAAATGGGGCTGGGCCCTGGGGATTCTGGCATGGCCGGGGGATAGACAGACCCCCAAACCCAGCCACATGGATTACAGAATAAAATGTTAAAACGGAAATCTTAAAATAACTTGAAGAAAGAACAAATGATTGCTTATCCAATTTCAGGGTAGAGAGAGACTTTCTGAGCCTAAATCGAAAGGAAGAATTTGAAATGTGACTACATAAAAACTAAACTTCTATAAGTAAACAAAGAAATGAGAAAAAGGCACTGGCAGTATTTGAGGAACATTTGTATCTTTTTATAAAAAACTGTTACAGCCCTAACCGGTTTGGCTCAGTGGATAGAGCATCGGCCTGTGGACTGAAGGGTCCCAGATTCGATTCCAATCAAGGGCATGTACCTTGGTTGCAGGCACATCTCCAGTAGGGAGTGTGCAGGAGGCAGCTGAATCGATGTTTCTCTCTCATTGATATTTCTAACTCTCTATCCCTCTCCATCTCCCTTCCTCTCTGTAAAAAATCAATAAAATATATTTATTTTTAAAAAGCTGTTACAGATGACAAAAATAAGGGATAACGTTGGGAATCCCACTAGAAGACAGACTGCAAAGAATGCAAACACATTTCACAAAAGATGGCCAATAGATATCACATGAAACAATGCTCACCCTCCTTCACAAATCAGCACGGAAGGGCAAGCTGGACTAAGACACCAGTTTGTCTCTCATTTTGGCAAAGTTTAGACTGATTGTGTGGCCCGGACTTGGCCTAACTGGGTAGAGGCAGGCACTGGCGTGGGAGCTGGCCTGCCCGTCAGGACAGCAGTTTGGCAATATGTCCATCAAGAGCCTTAAACATGTTCACTCCTAGAGCCTTCCCAGAGAAATGGCTGGACACCGCCCACCCCGATCTGACATCTCTGCAGAGCTTCACAGACACACGAGGGCACAGGACCTCCAGGACTACCCACGCCGGTCCCCATGGCTTGCTTCCACAGGACCACCCCTCTGGCCTCCCCTCGTCAGCCTTCCACGGACAGCACACGCTGACTTACGCACTATGGAAACAACGGGGTGTTTTTAAATCCTGCTGAGGCTGTTTTACATCTAAGCCTGATATTTCACACCTAGACTGGCCGAAGGCAAAGCCTTTTTCAATGTTTCCCTAAGTGCAGTTTGTTGGGAGAACATGGCACCAACCTCGTTTCACAAAAATCTGGAGGAGCCCAAGGCTTGGCCTGGCTTTACAACCAGTCACCACAGGTTAAAGCCCCAGAGGTCACAGACCCTAGCCCAGCTCAGCAGCTGCCCAGGGACAAGACAACTCACATAACCCAGGTCCTCTGCCCATGGGGTAGGCAGGCTGAGGGCCCAAGCCCAGACCGCCCCCCGCCCCAGCGAAGCAGCAGGGACTGCACAGGCAGGAAGGGCAAAAACACAGCTATGCGTAAGCGCACTGTTCTCTCCTAGAACCCCCTCCTCCCTCACATGCTCAGGTCCTGCCCAGCTTTTGAGGACCCCTACACACAGGCCCTGCTCTAGCCATACCTCTCCCCTCTACAAAACGCCCCCCCTCC